TTAACCCTTTGCAAATTTGATCAATACTGCCTCCAATCATCCAATACTTGGCTCAGTTAAAATAGTTGATTTATATTTGAATTCGATAATAACATTTAAAAATTAAATGTGTAGTAGTAATACTTTAGTACCTCTTATTAATTAATGTATAATATTACAACATACATAATGATGTAGGCAATTTGTTTCATAAAAATCTAAAAGTAAAATTCATAATTTAAATTTACCCTCTGGGAGCCCCAAAATTTTAGAAAATGCATTTTCTTGGTGATGTATTTTCTAAACTACCCTATTGCACTGTTTTTCTCAACCAATCAGCGAGTTGAAAGGAACACATGCTTAATGCGTACTCAAACTATGCGATTATGCCAGAGGAAATGATCATAAACAGAAAGTCATCCATATTTTGACGAAGAACTCTAGATGGCTTGGTGAGTTCAGAGATTTATTGTAAACTGAAAAAGTGAAGACGAAGCTTTCTTTTTGACAAAAATGTCAGTCTACCCCAGCTACCAGAATGACATGAACTTGCAGCCATTCAAAATGCTCTCCTGACAGAGTTAAGAAGTTAAAACTCGTGTTGATCTTTCCTCATACATAGTAATTTTATTAAATTTTTCACAAACTGTACATTTATAATACTAAAATCCATTGTTTTGAACTTTGAAGTAAAATTAATTTATGTCATTTCCATTATAAAATGCCTGAAATGCTCCGAAATGCCTCAATTTATGGTAATTAGGGTATTTGATTAACAGGTCAAATCAGTAAAGTAGCAATCATTATCGATGGAAGCGTGGGTAAACAGGGGTTTCACAAGAATTTCTCATAACATGGAAAAGTTGAAAAGTCGCTAAAAACAACAGACAATTTTGTGAAAACAACCGGTGAAAATTGCCTGTTGCCTGCTGCAAATGAAACGCATGGTAAAGCATGTGAATCAGCCAATCAAGTGGAATTTAGGGAGGCCTAGTTGACATATTTTGCTGCTACTAGATGTTACTCATTGTTTACAACACTACATATATATGCCATCTATTGATCAACAATATATTTTATTCATTTAAACGTTTGAAGTAGACCTACATTTCTAATGTTATTTCATTCAGTGTCTACAAATAACAAGATATTTGTCAAGTACTTGTCACCTGCTGTATCAAGTATCCCAACTTCAAAATGATTTAGAAATTATTATTTCGACAAATCAATTTCACCTTTCATTGGTGATATTTTAGGATCTAAATCATTTTGTTATCAAAACAATTAGTTACAACTTCAATGACTAAACTCCAGTTACAACTTTGATCTGCATAGATGAAAGAAAATAAATCTGTCAAACCATAGTTTCATCTTAGATCTGCAATGCCTACACTGCCATCTTTTAAAGGAAACTTAAGTCAAAAGTACACAACAAAATACTGTAGAAGTGGAAACTTTAGCGAAACAAAACTTTAGCGAGATGGTCCCTAAAACTTTATTGCCGAATTAAACTTTCCCGGACCAGCAATCAAGAAAATGGAAAATTACTTGGGCGAGCCTAGGTTCTTTTCTTAATCCTAGGGCGAGCTATAAGCTTATTATTAGGTTTTCATGAAGCATTTATTCACCAACACGATTGGTTGCATTTTTGTAAACCTCGAGTTGTAAACATGTATATCACAGTTATTAGCTCTATATCACCGTTATTAGCCCTATAATTAATCTTGCCTTTCGAGGAATGGCGTGTCACCATCAAAAGTAAGTGTGTATGTTTGTGTATAATCCCCAATCAATGTGCTCAAACCGTCAGTAGGTGTTAATACCCGACAAACAATCAAATAAGTAACAAACTCGGCTAGGCCTAATTCACTATCAAACTTTATTCTATTTATTGTACTATTGTGGGTAGATGTTGACTTGTGTTTATGTTCTGTTCAGTATCTTATGTTTTGTTTAAGAATAAATGCTAGTATAGATCTATTCTTATAAAATAATCGTGTCATTCATGTTAGTGATGAGTTGTCACGTGACAGTAGATGTCCAATCAAATTGCAGATTTTGTGATCGAAAATTCGAAAAATTATTTCTGTTATGTTTTCATCATTTAGGGCAACAAAACATGATTGCAAAACAAAATAGGTATTAATTATGATTGTAAATCGATGAGGAAACACTGAGGTATGTATTATTTATGTATTCGAAACTAAATTCAGCATCTGGATGTCGATCTGTATTCTTCACGGTATTATCACCCACCAATATTTTTTTCATATTTTTCTACGAATTTTTATTTTGGCGTCTCTCCTTCAACGCTAAATTTCGCCAAAGTTTCCACGTCGTTAAACTTTCCACTTCTACAGTAATACTTTGAGCAAAAGTCTTAATCTGAAAGGATCTGCTAAAATCAAATTTAAAAAATATGACGAGACCTTGCCCGAAAAGTGAATTTTTGACATCATTTAAACCGTGTCATTGTTCCTTGATGACATACATGGATCATGGCCTTATTGCTAACATTTTGTGCCTTCTTCCTATGCTGAACCCAGAAACAAATACAGTGACTCCTGAAGTGAACATCTATAGAGTGACAAAACGTGTTCACTGTAGGAAGATGTTCACTACAGAAAGGGGATTTTGTACAGGAATCAATGTAAGTGGTGTTCACCAAACACAGGTGTATATTATAGAGAGATGTTCACTAAGATTTTACTGTACATATAAAGCAGCCTACTACTTTTTTCATGGCCTGACTATGTCCGTATAACTTGAAATATGGGAGTTACCGGATTGGGAGTCTTACTTACCTTCTAGAGGTAACAACACACATTTTAATAAAACCCTATCACCTTTGTTGCGTCAACCATTGAGCATTTAGCACAATATCCAAGAGGTAAAATATGGACCGTGAAAATGAATGATTTCCTTAAGTTCCGGAAGTTTCAATACGAAAAATAACCAAACATATGTGAAAATTGAATGTTTGTTCGTTGATTTTATGATTCACACCTGTGTGTATTCTTCTATATTTTGGTCTAAATTATAATCATTAAAGCATCACAAACAGGTTACTAGTAATAGACTAATACAGTAAAACCTGTCTTAGTGAACACCTTTCTCTAGTGAACACCAGTGTTAAGTGAACACCTGTTCAAGGCACATTCAACATTCACTCCTGTGTAAAATTTTTGTAGTGAACACCTTTCTATAGTGAACACTTTTTGTGGCTCCATAGGTGTTCACTATATACAGGATTTACTGTACAGCAGACAACCCATTCATACTTTCTGCGCAGCATTTCATTCAGACCAACAGTTCTATCTTAGAACATGCCATCTTCCTCTGTCCTGTCCTAAACTTGTCTGCAAGCGATTGCAAAACAATTTTCTTTAATATTCTAATTATTTTCACATCAGAGATGGTTGGATGGCATGTCACCAAATAAAAGTTCAAGGGTCAATACATTATTTCGTAATAGGGGCAACGCATTCCCAGAAGTCAATACAAGGAAAAATGGAAAAGTAAAAAAGCATTTACACAAATTTCAATCAAGTACTGTGCTTATGCTTCATCATGAACAATACAAATATGATTTCATTGAAATGTGTGTTCTAACTGGTCCCCCAGTCTTTAGGTAACTCTTATATTTCAAGTTCTACCGACACAGTCAGGCCATTAAAAAAGTAGTAAAAGAAAATTTTGATACACTGTTCTATTTTGATAAAAAAAAAGAGATCAGAAAATAAAGACTGAGATTATGTGATTTATGGCGCAGTATAAGACCAACGTGCTGTTGCGAGTCAAGTCTTTGGCAATGACCAGGGTAAAATCTAAAGTTATATATAATGCTGTAAATTATAGAGCAAAGGTATTTGTAACTTACAATTTTAATACAATAAACAAAAGAACTAATCTGTATGGCAAAAAAATAAAATAAATTATTAAATCAAGTGCAAAAAAAAAAAAAAAAAAGTCATGAAGGATCAGTTTTTAGTATAGCGCTGCATTCAAAATTAGAAATTTTTCTTCAACTTTTCAAAATCAGTATAGCTGCAAGCCTGCTACTCCGACTCTGATGTCCGTCAAAACTCTGATAATCTAACTCATCAGAGCTGGGGTAATGAATGGATTACGTAAGTCAGACACACTAAATTTTACATTTATGGATGGAATTTGTCTGATGTCAACTTCTTATACCTGCTAGAGAAGCTGACAGGTACAGTTGCTTTTTACCAAGAATACTAATATCATACGAATGTATGAACGAACACTGTTTACGAAGATCAATGAGAGAGTATGTTTGTTATATTTCAGCTCATGAATAGCAACTGTTCATAAGTGTTGTCGCGATGTGCCATAATCGTACATCGATGCATCGACAATTTTCAATATAGTAAACATAATACACAACAATTGTAAACAAATGTACATTGGGAAAAGTCTGATCAAATTTATTTTTTGAAAAAACATTGATGTTTTGTTTCAGACATCGATGCATCGCCAGAATCACTTTTCATTCTTTGTTTTTTGATGCAATGTATCAATTAATCACAACAACACTACTGTTCATATTGAGGTAGCATAAAGAACAATAAAACACACAGGATTCCATGATCACCATAAGGCCAAATAACATACAGTGTTCTCACCAGGAAAACTTTAGAACCCGGAGTTTTTGCAGTATCGTGACTACTCCTCCCTCATGTGAGATCAGAGATGTCCTATTAGTATACTTTCCAAAATACTGCTTAGATTATCTACCTATTTTAATCACAATATACATTTCTAAAAGGTTTCTGACTTCCTATTCCTTGTTTGTATCCAGTTTTATGTATTTTCTCAAGAGTATTACCGTGATAAAATTAGACACCGGAAAACACATTTTTGACTCAGGAAAAGCTTTTAGACTCTGGAGCGAGAGGGTCTAAAGACATTAGACTCCAAAGAATCTCTGAGTCTAACAGCCTAGTGAGAACCCTGTATACACGTAATGGAAGCCTTGGCAGAAGGAAATGCTGACTTACCTTGCAGTCAATACAATGATTCTGAGAGGATCCCTGGCTACTGTGAAGAGAAGGAGGGCTACTGGAGGTCCAAATGCAATAAATGTACATCCAAAGAATTCCATAATCGCCATCGTGACTGTATTGTTTTGTTTCTTGAGTTTTCAAAATATTGGCATGTGTCACTTCCGGGTAAATAAAAATGTCAAAAGATATTCGAGTCAAGATGAAACAGAATTGTGCCTGTTGTGATCTCTTTCTGTACTTTAGTCTTAAACGATATGCTTTCTTATATCGTTTGTTTCAATTGGATACGACATATAATGTCTTAAACGGCTGTAATATGTTCAAATACAAGCAAAATATAAATATTTCAGAGACTTCCTTTTTGCAAATTCTACGGAGTGAATATAGTTCATGAGTCGCCCAAAGCACTTTCTGTTTAGCAATTCAAAATTCCCGCGTAAAATAAGTAAGACGCAACCGACTAGGATAGATTTTATCTAGGATGAAGAATTTTTTCCTTTTTTATTTTATATATTTGTTTTTCTAATCTTTTTGAAATACAATTCACATTCATAAGACAAAACGCTACATTTTCATTTTACAACAGTAAGATCACAAGCTTACAATAATTATGGTGTCACTCCTGTAAATCATTGAAAAATATTGAAAAAAATCACAAAATTCAAGTTCTGGGGTACATATCGCCATTTTCGAACGAACTAGCCCATACAATGACTATATTTCTGCGTTCCCCTATACATAACCTTCATCTTGACACTATATTTAACATAGGGTTTGCGTCTCGATTTTTATATATCACTACGCCAACATAGGGACTCATTTTCAGGTAAAATCCCTGCTTCACCAAGGAGGATTGGCTCCCAGAGTGCACCACCGATATTCTGTCCCATATATGGGTATGTCGTAATACAAAATTCGAATTCAAACAGCCGCCATTTTGTTCACTTCAACATTTAAATCGTGAATTTTGGTCTTATTTCCAAACGAAAAATTCCAAAACTCACAAGAAATGATCGAGATATTGGTTCGAATCTTTTGAACTGTTTATTTTGAATTTATAGTCGGTTTTAATTTCAGAAAATAACGACATTTCGACGTTTTCATTGTTGGAAAATATCGAGTTTCGATCCTGGGAGCCAATCCTCCTTGTGCTTCACCGATGAAAATTAACGAATAAAGTAGTTCCAGTTTACGGGAGCGGGGACTATATTCTTGCGATTTTTTTCTTAAAATGACACATTTAGAAAGTATTTGGCCTCAGCTTTACATACATACCTCAAATGGCCACATTGCATACACTTAAACCTACTATACACACCATTGAAGTTGGCATGGCTTCGTTTTTAAAGTATTAAAAAACACTGTCCTACCCGGAAGTGGTATTTACCGGAGTGACACCTTATCAGGGGCGAATCAAGGAACCAAAAAAGGGGGGCCAACATTTCCGGTCAGAGAAAAAAACTTCCGAAATTTTTTTTTGCCTGAAATGAAAAATTAGGCCTTAGAAAGCCCAGTAATGACTAAAAAGGCCCACCTTTTGGGGCCTTAGGGCCTTTTTGGCCCAACATCTTTTAAGGGACTAATTTTTTTCTGGGCCCAACTTAGGGTCTCCTCCCGGGCAAGGAATTCAGTTTCAAAATCATGCAGTTATTCACCACCCTGAGCACGTTTCGCGTGATTTTTTAGCCAACAAATGTTACTCCCAACCCTTGGAAAAAGCTGGCAACAGGCAAGTTATAATGTTACTCATCCTAACTAAATCACGATATCGTCCATTCGCACCAGTCCAATACACCAATAATGACAATAATTCCCATTGGCCGTAAAATAACAGATATTTAAGGCGTTATTAGATAGTATACTATTGAAATCTGAAGGATATGGAATTAATTATTGGGTTTTATTGAACACTATAATATTTTTATTGAATCTACAGTTTTTTCTCTCTGTATCACTTCCTGTGTGGAATACGTTGCCCCAAAAGTACATAGCATCCATTGGCATATAACCTCTTAAAGGCCCTACTAAAACTCCACATCTAGGACACTCAGAAGTGTAAAAAGTGACCAAAGAATTTGTTAAATAAAGATGTGTGCTGTTTTTGCTTCATTTATAACATATGTCATTAAACAAAGGAATTCATACCAATTGTTTCGAAATATACACTGTATCAACAATAAATCAAATTCTGTTAAACAGAATCAAAAATATTTTAAAAAAAACAGGAAGTGGATGTTTTGTTTTGTTGCATTCATTGATTATCATAGCAAAACAAAACCAGAATAATCAATTCATTTAATGAGTGCAATTGTATAATAATAAAACAATTTATCAATAAACTGAATGCTCTTTGGATACCGACCAATCTTTTCTGAACAATATATTATTCTCTCAAGAACATGACCTTACAATGTTTTAGCGTGTTATCATAATAATTTCATAGAAATACCAAGGTCTTTGATCAATTCATAATTTTTATTTTGTTTCCTGGTTATATATAACAGAGGTTCGTTGCACCTTTAATAGAATTAGCTGGATGCAACATAAACACTCTTTATAATGTGATATGAAGTACCCTTTGCATTAGATTGACTTCATATGCACTCTTTAAAAGTAAATTATATTTGTCATTTAGCCTACTGTATTTAAAATCAAAATCTGGTGCTGCATATTTAATTTGTCTATAAGCTATCATTATTTTCAAAATCAATTACAAATAATTACATTATGTTATTTGTAATATGATATGAGATAATGCTACCCTTTCACTAGAATGAATTCATATGCACTCTTCTAATGAGAAATATTTTTGTGATTTATTCTATATCAAATCAAATCCAATTCTGCATTTTCTGCCATTTAGTAGCTATCATTTCAATATCGATTTCAATTACTGTAAATTGATTAAATTTGACGGCCGTTTCAATTAGGCGAATTTGGCGGACTGATAAAAACCGCCAAATTAAGTCTCCGCCAATGTTTGAAAATGACATCCCCGGGGATGCCTTAATCTATACTCTTCAAGTTAATGATCTTTTTTATTTAGATTTAAGCTTAATCAGAATCTTCACAATTCAAACTTCCCACAAAAAGGTCTCAAAGCTCTAACTGACAAATGGTGAGTTGGATCAAAATGAAAACAGTAAAATCATGTGCCATAATTAGAGGACAGTGTAGTTAACAGGAGATAAAGGGTAATAAAGAAGGAACGATGCAGTAAACATCTTGATTAATTGTATTTTGATTATATATAAGTCTTCAGCGCTTCCAAGAGAGATTATTTGAATCAATAATTTTGAAAAAACGAGTTTATACAAGGATATAAAAAATGCATTAAAAGTTACTTAACATTTAACGAAATGTCAATCACATGCAGAAATGGCTTCATTTATCACAAATAGGGTTGATGGGATCGCAACACCTCCTTTATTAAGCCATCATTACCATTTTAACGCTTCCTGATCAGTCGCTCGGCAGAGTCATCGGAGGATTGACAGTGGCACTAATGGATTGATGAATAATTGCATGGCTTATTTGCCCATGCCAACTTCTGCTTATAGGTGCATTCCTCCATCTGAGTTGAGGATTTGCTAAATTGTTTCAGAACAAAGAATTCAAATTGGATGTTACTGAAGAAATGTAACTCGAGATGATCACGGAATAAAATTGTTTAGATGCAAGATTAATTGAATGTAAGATAATAGACTGAGGATTATGGTTAACTACATTATTCATTTCATACTTTTACATGGAATCCTTATAGGTAAGTACTTGTTTTTATTAACTAGTTTTCTTTAGTTTTTTAATTAACACTAACATTTTATACGAGGATGATAAAAAAGTAAAAACTTTCACATGTAACAATGTCACCATATAACTTAGGTTATATTATTTTATCAAGATGGAATCACTACAATTGTAATATTATTCCTTAACTGACAATAAAATGGGAGGGGGAAGAATTGATAACATGCAGAAACGTAGCAAGATAGTAAAAGTACATTTTGTAAACAATTATAATTAAAAGAACTTGCTCGAACATCGCAGAAAATACGCATACCAAAGGGGGCAAATATAAATACAAGGATTTAAATAAATGTACCTGTATGATCTCAAATATGCTATTAATGCCTATATTTATGAAATCAAGTTCATACAAAGACTAGCAAGTGCTTGCCTTTTAATTATAAAAGGCAGAAAAGCATCGAGGAATATAATAAGCACAACATCAAAAGTCATTAGAAGATTGAAATCGATTTAATGAAAAGAGATTCCTGCTAAATGATGGTTTAAGGATTTCAGTATCAGAGTAACTTCTTAATCCATTTAATTATCAGTATTTAATGGAAATTGCTTTTTATCTGACTATGTCAAGAATGGGGATGATTGACACATCTCAACCTATGTACTTTATATGTATTCACTGACTAAAGGAACAGCATGATTGACAGTAGAAAATGCGGTTTATCTCACAATGTCAAGAATGGGGATGCTTGACACATCTCAACCTATGTACTTTATATGTATTCACTGACTAAAGGAACAGCATGATTGACAGTAGAAAATGCGGTTTATCTCACAATGTCAAGAATGGGGATGATTGACACATCTCAACCTATGTACTTTATATGTATTCACTGACTAAAGGAACAGCATGATTGACAGTAGAAAATGCGGTTTATCTCACAATGTCAAGAATGGGGATGATTGACACATCTCAACCTATGTACTTTATATGTATTCACTGTTAAGGAACAGCATGATTGACAGTAGAAAATGCGGTTTATCTCACAATGTCAAGAATGTGGATGATTGACACATCTCAACCTATGTACTTTATATGTATTCACTGACTAAAGGAACAGCATGATTGACAGTAGAAAATGCGGTTTATCTCACAATGTCAAGAATGGGGATGATTGACACATCTCAACCTATGTACTTTATATGTATTCACTGACTAAAGGAACAGCATGATTGACAGTAGAAAATGCGGTTTATCTCACAATGTCAAGAATGGGGATGATTGACACATCTCAACCTATGTACTTTATATGTATTCACTGTTAAGGAACAGCATGATTGACAGTAGAAAATGCGGTTTATCTCACAATGTCAAGAATGGGGATGATTGACACATCTCAACCTATGTACTTTATATGTATTCACTGACTAAAGGAACAGCATGATTGACAGTAGAAAATGCGGTTTATCTCACAATGTCAAGAATGGGGATGATTGACACATCTCAACCTATGTACTTTATATGTATTCACTGTTAAGGAACAGCATGATTGACAGTAGAAAATGCGGTTTATCTCACAATGTCAAGAATGTGGATGATTGACACATCTCAACCTATGTACTTTATATGTATTCACTGACTAAAGGAACAGCATGATTGACAGTAGAAAATGCGGTTTATCTCACAATGTCAAGAATGGGGATGATTGACACATCTCAACCTATGTACTTTATATGTATTCACTGACTAAAGGAACAGCATGATTGACGGTAGAAAATGCGGTTTATCTCACAATGTCAAGAATGGGGATGATTGACACATCTCAACCTATGTACTTTATATGTATTCACTGACTAAAGGAACAGCATGATTGACAGTAGAAAATACGGTTTATCTCACAATGTCAGGAATGGGGATGCTTGACACATCTCAACCTATGTACTTTATATGTATTCACTGACTAAAGGAACAGCATGATTGACAGTAGAAAATGCGGTTTATCTCACAATGTCAAGAATGGGGATGATTGACACATCTCAACCTATGTACTTTATATGTATTCACTGTTAAGGAACAGCATGATTGACAGTAGAAAATGCGGTTTATCTCACAATGTCAAGAATGTGGATGATTGACACATCTCAACCTATGTACTTTATATGTATTCACTGACTAAAGGAACAGCATGATTGACAGTAGAAAATGCGGTTTATCTCACAATGTCAAGAATGGGGATGATTGACACATCTCAACCTATGTACTTTATATGTATTCACTGATAAACATAAAATATTAAATCTCCCGTTTCATTTATAACCAGAATCATCACCACACTTCAACATTTTATGTCAATCGAAAAAAGAATGCTAGAAAATCTGTATTTTTGCACATATCTGATTTTTTAGGTCTGTGATTTTTGATAACATTATAATTGTTGGGAACATTTATACAATTTTGCGGCTGTGTACTCTTCAGTTATTTCTGATACATTTTAAACTTTATATAACAATAAAATAACTGACAATGCATTGATGCATGAGAGGGAAATGCTGCCAATCATGAGTCATATACATACGGTCTTGGTATTTATCTATAGTTTGATTAAATCAGATTATAATCATCATATTTTCTTCAAGTTGATTTACAATTCTCACAAGTGTGAAAAAGAGATGCTCAATAATTGAAATGTTTCATTATTGTGCTTGGTTTTAACAAAACAGACAATGTCTCCACCGTATAAGGTATTGCAAATGGTTTCAAAACACTTTGTTACAGATCTAAACCACAGATATTAGTCACAAAATTGGAGGCCATAACAATCCACTTCTTGGTGGTGATATAAACACCATTTAACATATATGATATATATTCCACCGTATAGGTATTGCAAATGGTTTCAAAAAGTGTAACACTTTGTTACAGATTTAAACCACAGATATTAGTCACAATATTGGAGACCATAACAATCCACTTCTTGGTGGTGATACAAAAACCATTTAACATATATGATTGTATATTTTAAATTTAAAATTGTTTTGCACTTATGGAGTATTACTAAATCTACTGATCAATATAAACAATAATATGATAAAAGGTTCTACAATAATTGAATTGTCTTTTAAGTTCAATCCATGTATCCTTATAATATCAGACAATTGCTCAACTGATTGAATGAAAATTTATCTCATAGCGGATAATTGGATATCAGGCTTAATGTAAACTTTTGAATAAAACTAAATATCTAATTATTCCGAGAACAAAACAAATCTAACAAGCTTTGGAGTATGGAGAGGAGGCAAAGACGTCATTGAAGGGATCAATAGTTGATTAATGATCAGAGATTATCTCATATACCAATGCCCGCACTTCAATACGTTTTAATAATTTCAATCTTCTTGAATTATTAACCCAACCATTTGTGTTCACATGTTTGTATTGTGACGTCATTGAAGGGATCAATAGTTGATTAATGATCAGAGATTATCTCATGTACCAATGCCCGCACTTCAATACTTTTTAATAATTTCAATCTTCTGGAAATATTGTGTTCACATGTTCATTTGAGTGTGGAGAGGAGGCAAAGACGTCATTGAAGGGATCAATAGTTGATTAAAGATCAGAGATTATCTCATGTACCAATGCCCGCACTTCAATACTTTTTAATAATTTCAATCTTCTGGAAATATTGTGTTCACATGTTCATTTGAGTGTGGAGAGGAGGCAAAGACGTCATTGAAGGGATCAATAGTTGATTAATGATCAGAGATTATCTCACATACCAATGCCCGCACTTCAATACTTTTTAATAATTTCAATCTTCTTGAAATATTCTTCCAACCATTTGTGTTCACATGTTGAAATGTATGTACTCAATTAACATTATTGTGTACATTGTATTATATGATGACCATGATAAAATATGGTCATAATAAAGAAATACATGTATTCGTGTCAAAAGAGAGCTTCATCTTCACTTCATCTATTTGTATTGAATTTTACTCTGATCTTACTCAATCTGTCTATCAAAACTAGCATATATCTGAGAATTATAAATTAAAAGGCTTGTCACTCATATTGAAATGATTGCATAAATAGATTTGAAAGGCAAGGACATGAATGTAGAGGTTATTTACTGGGAGGGATTGAATATGGGTTTTACATGTATTTGGATATATGCAGTAACCTTTTCAACATTTCAATCAATTGATTACTGTTTTCAAAATGAAGAAATAATGAATTTCCTGATTTTTAATTCATTTCCATGCAGCTATTAATTATCAACTATAGCGTTAAAATTGTATTTCAACGTACATTTATAAAATTACCTGCCATTTCTTCAAATTACTTGTAATCATATTTTTCAATATTTTACTCTCTCAGACAACAATAAAGATTACGTCTAGGTCTCACTAACCTTGGTAAATGTCTTTATTCATAGCTAGAATCTAATCAAGAAATATTATTCAATTGTTTATAATCTGATTTCAAGACTTTTGTTTCCTGGATGAAAAAGTTCAATCAAGGAATATCATGAAAAATGGCTCATTTTGGTGTAGTAATACGCCTAATGCTTCTTATAACTAAACAATGACAATGTTTGGCTTTTACGCTCAATTGCTTTTCCTTTTTTGGATTGGAGTAATTTCAACCTCTTAAAAGATAAAAATCGGGTCCAATTATGACTCATTGTTTATTTGACTTCTGTGTTGATGCAAAAACTCTCTGGTTAGGAAAAACACTACCTTGATTGTAAACAAATAAAATATGTTAAACAGTATCACTAAAAACACATTTTCAACACACTCCTTCTCTTGACCCCTTGTCTTGTCCATGTCCTTAAGCAACCGATGGTAATAAATTTAATATAGAATGGGAAAACGAGAATGAAATTATATATTACAAAATAAAAAACACTCATTGTAGAACTAATTACTTGTAATTTCAGTTATGATTCTGACAGATTACATACCTAATGCATTAGTGCTAGTCATGGGGATATTGACATATAATTGACACATGTGATATAATTAAGATTAATGACTGGATATATCCCATAATAATAAAGTGTCACCCTGCTTATATGTCTTATTAAGGAAGGTTGCTGGTCGTAAAGAATGTTATTCTAGTAATTGTAAGTAGTCGCACATAGGTTTCTCAATGGAACTGAGTTCCGTATGGGGAATTCAATTTTAGTGAAGGTATGGTTTAAAAGAAACTATGAATTTATATTAAAGTCCCCATATAAAGTTTTTACCATTCATTTACTATTTTTCATGGCTTTGAAGAAAACAAAAATTTGAAAAGAAATTGCCAGCTTTCATTTCTCAAATATTTTAAATTTCCCGCCATTTTTCAAATAAAGGTTGAAATTTTTAATCATCAAATATTCCACTGTACAGTGCAAAAACATTATCTTTTTAACCGATGCAAAGATTGAACAAAGGAAACACTTTCAATAATAAAATGTCATATATCTAATGTGCCACTTCAATGTTTTACCATGTCAAAAATAGTTTGCAACCTAAGTGACCTCATCGTTACATCACTCAGGTGACAAAAACCTTTTGAAAAAATGGAAAAAGATTGTTCAACTGTTCAATGTCAATCTTTCCTCAATGAAGTAAACTTAAAAAAAGAACCAAATGTTGACTATCCAACAAGGTTAAAAGTAAGAATATATTCTGATTTAGAAAAAGTCTTTCAAAAACACTTTGAATTAAAAAAGAATGTTTCGCATATCACATTACGATAACATTGGGGAAAACTATGATAAAGTGATTTAACCGTATATGGGGGCTTTAGGTCATCATGTACTTAAGTAATCTAGAAATGTTTTATCTTATACACAAAACTGAGTTCCAGAAAATAAAGGGAAAATTGATTTAAAATAAAATATACTTTAAAAGAGTGTGAATTTATACTATCTGGATTATTTTATAGTCGGGGAAATATTTTCCGTAACACAGTTTCTGGGGAACTTAATTCAAAGTAACATGCTTTGAAAAACTATAAACAAATAGTAATTCAGTAATTATTATAAGCTGAAAAATCTAACTATAAAATGTTTTCAGTTGCAGAGCAGCTTAATTTTCCAATGGATACAATAGATGGCTCTGTTCTAATCGGTGACATAAATGGTACACTTGAAGGAAACCCAACAATCACAGAGGGCATTGTAGGTAATGCCATAAACCTTACTCCAAAACAAGGGATAAATTATGGAAATCAAAGAGATAAATGTTTTGGTAACATTGAACTCTGTTCAAATGGCTACAGCATAAGTGTGTTATTCAAACCTGATGCAGAACAAGAAGAAGACAAGGGAATTGTGCTTACCAATGGAGCAGAGACAGTGTATAGTTATGGCATTGCGATGGAAATACAGATCAACACGGCATCAAATAATCGATTAGTCGTAACTGTAGCTTCAAAGACATATTTCTGGAAACTGACTATTTCCAACTTTCCCTATGGACTTTGGTACCACGTGGTTGTTACAACGACCATCCCACTTGAGGACAATCGTCCGTTAGTTTACATAAATGGTCAACTAAGGGTTGCTAGTACATACAAGAGGGCTAGATCAAGACCTGATGAGTAAGCAATTTTTTAATGAGGTCTTCATTTTTTTTACTTGAAAAATCAGCAGTCTAGTCAAACATATCATGAACTACACTTTTGCAAAATTAGCTAAATTGCAAGCGTTTTGTCGAACTTGTCACAATTAGTCAAAGTAAAGATTAAATTGAATTTTTCAATATTGGTAATATCAAACTTCCTCCATATAGATACACTCCAATCGCAGTGCCCCTGCCAGACAGATATATTGAAATAGTTCAATCAATTGTGCATTTCAGTTATCCAGAGTTTGTACTTGGACGCTCCAACAGATGGAATAATGACATTGCAAAATCCATGTTTGCCAATGTAACAATTGATGAAATCATATTCAAAGATTACATCATTCAAGCAAAAGACATACTGGATGAATTCATACAATATACAGGTATGTGCAATATTGCAATTGATGAAATCATATTCAAAGATTACCCCATTCAAGCAAAAGACAAACTGGATGAATTCATACAATATACAGGTATGTGCAATATTACAATTGATGAAATCATATTCAAAGATTACATCATTCAGGCAAAAGACATACTGGATGAATTCATACAATATACAGGTATGTGCAATATTACAATTGATGAAATCATATTCAAAGATTACATCATTCAGGCAAAAGACATACTGGATGAAGTCATACAATATACAGGTATGTTTAATATTACAATTGATGAAATCATAATCAAAGATTACATCATCCAGGCAAAAGACATACTGGATGAATTCATACAATATACAGGTATGTGCAATATTGCAATTGATGAAATCATATTCAAAGATTACCCCATTCAAGCAAAAGACAAACTGGATGAATTCATACAATATACAGGTATGTGCAATATTACAATTGATGAAATCATATTCAAAGATTACATCATTCAGGCAAAAGACATACTGGATGAATTCATACAATATACAGGTATGTTTAATATTACAATTGATGAAATCATAATCAAAGATTACATCATCCAGGCAAAAGACATACTGGATGAATTCATACAATATACAGGTATGTGCAATATTGCAATTGATGAAATCATATTCAAAGATTACCCCATTCAAGCAAAAGACAAACTGGATGAATTCATACAATATACAGGTACGTGCAATATTACAATTGATGAAATCATAATCAAAGATTACATCATCCAGGCAAAAGACATACTGAATGAATTCATACAATGATTAATGTTACAATTGATAAAATCATTTTCAAACATTAAGTACAACTTACTCAGAAAAGCATTTCTTATACTTTTAGATAAACTATAACTTGCAACCAAACATAAGTTACAATATTCCTAAGATAGACAAGCCACTCTTCTCTGCAATGTTATTCATTTTAATTACAATTTATCTATGTATATTTAATTCCTCTCTGTAATCACTGATCAATCACTCTCACGACAGATATCAAAAAATCATAAATCATAGCAATTAATACAATACTCTGGTATTAATAATTCATTGTTATTAATGCTGAATATCAATAAATTGAACTATTTTAAGTTGATCAAAGCCACAGTCAGGTTTTCTGTCTGCAACAGTATAATTGTAGATATATCTAGACATGCAATATTTACAATTTATATCGTATTCAATTCATTGCCAATTTAATTCATTCCCCACGACCTGTCATCAAGACAAGGTAGACAATGCGTTTATATAAAAAACAGTATGTAATAAAGAAAACATATTTTCTTATTTCAGAGAACCAATGTGGCCCAGTGCCCTCTATTGCCAATGGTGTGATAATAGCTGGTTCATTTGGGGATGAAGCTGATACTGGATCGACCTTGACCTTTGTATGTGATGCTGGATTTCTCATGTCTGGCAGTGATACTGTGTTGTGTGATGGTGGAGCGTGGATTCAACCCCCGAAATGCATCAATGCTGATCAGAAAACTGAGGCTAACATTGAGGCCACAAGTGAACGTACAACAAATGATATATCAACTACTGAATCAAATGTTGAATTTACAAGTACAACTATAGAACAATCAACAAGTGTACCTTCAACTCGAGGACAATCAACACAATCAACCATTGAAAGTTCAACTTTAGAGCAATCAATTACTGGTTCTTCAACTTTTGAGAAATCATCAAATATACCTTCAACCCTAGAACAATCAACAATTGATAAATCAACTATTGAATCATCAACGCTAGATATAAATGAATCTTCAATCACTGAGTCTTCAACTATGGAACTATCAACCATTGAACCACCAACCATTGAATCAACCATTGAACCACCAACCATTGAATCAACCTTTAAATCATTAACTATTGAAACAACCATTGGATCATCAACCATTGAATCAACCATTTCGTCGTCAACGATTGATTCTTCAACCATTACATCATCAACCATTGAACCAACCATTGCATCGTCAACCATTGAATCAACAACATTATTAACATCAACATTTCTCAATTTTGACAGTGCATCACCAAGACATACTGACAGTACTTCTACAACTGCTTCATCAGATCAACAACTTATCACCAATGATTCTACAATACAAGTGATACAACCAACTACAACTGCTGCTAATTTAGACACAAAACCCCCAATACTGTTCAATACTTCAACAAAGGAGCATTATAAAAGAGCAAAAAGAAAGATTTATTCCCCAGAAGAGGCTAAACATTCTATCAGTATAGGATCATTTTGGCTTATATGTATGATATGCACCATAGGCTCCATAGTACTTTTAGATTTTCCTAAATTGTTTCTACATTTAAGAACTGCAAAACGAAATTGTTTCAGTAATTGTAAAAGGTCAAACAGGCTTAATAATTATGTTCATTAGAAATCAATTGAATATAAAAGAATGCAACCTTCATTGGAATTCCAACCTTCATTGGAACTAACTTCAACCTTCATTTGAATTTTGCTAAAGCAATTAAATAAATTGAATTCAGTTGAAGTAAATGACTGAATTGTTTTTAAGAAAGTTGGTTGAAATATCAGAGAGATTCCACAACGCACTTATAGAATGTTTTTATTCCAGTATAAAGTATACCTTATGAAGCGTTTGATTACGTCATCATCTAATGTGTTGTTCTAATATGTCCATAAGTGTGATTTTCTGACGTATAAACGACGATTTAGTGGGTTGTGAAATCCCAAATTCATAATTTGGTTAAAATACATGTGGATTGGTTATTTGTTAAGGTTTTATTTCACCCCAACCCAGAAACGAAGATATAGTACGATGTGGACAGTTGTGACAATATATATGTGCAGAACATTTACAACAAATTAAAGAAGGATTATTACTAGTAATCAGATATACTACATTAATCAAAGATATATCTATCAGGGTTATCCCCTTCAACTTAATCACTTACAGCAAAACCTGTCGTGGCTCATCTCAAACGCCAGTGGAATCATCAAAATTGTTCAGATGGGCAAAACAAAACAAACATATTCTACTGTACTATTGAAAACCAATCATTGTAAAGTTGTAAGATCTCTAAATTGAATTCTTAATGATATTTCACTATTGCCTTCAATGGGACATTGTTTTCATAATCATTAAAACCTCCTGTATTTAACTGACCATTCATTGTAATATGAATGGTTACGATATTAATGGAATGGTACTTCCAATAATAAATATTAGTGGTTGGAAGACTGACTCGCGTACTCGAGTTTTACTCGCATTTGTCCTAAAAATCAATTGATCGAGTTGAAAACTTGAACTCACGATTTGAAATTTTTACCAAAAAAATATTTTTCACTCGTTTTCACCTTACCTTGACTCGCGATTCGTCTCTACTATTCACAATTTCCATGCTTATAGTTGTAATGTTCTGCTTAATCTGTATAGAATACAACTTATTTTCTATTTAATGCCATGTGCGGAGGACAAACATACTTGGATTTTATTCTGCTTTCGTTATTTTTATGCAAAAGTTTCATTTCCGGTTTGATGCATTCTGGGAATATCCAACAGCCGGGAATTTTAAAATTTGTCTACCGCGGTGCATCCTGGAACTTTCTGGATTGACGAAGTTTGTTTTCACTATTTATCCGGTAAGTTTTACTATCTATAGGGGACTAGGGGTGAACTTTAACGATCTATAGGGATGTGCGATACGATTTAGACAATAAAAAGTATAGAGGCACTTGAAAGACTTTATCAAATTGATGAATTCTGCCGCTACTTGGGAAACTGAAACCGGAAGTAACTCAACTTAAGTCAAATCGCGAATATAATCGTGGTTTTTCATGGCCCACTCGAGTGGAGATTTTCATGCGAGTCCGACCACTAATAAATATCCTGTATTTTGTGATAGAATACCTTTAGATAATTATTGTTTCATTGTTTTATCACACAAATATCTCTAGAGAATAAATAGTATTTTAATAATTAATTTATTTATACAATTGTATTTTATTTTTACATTGTATTTAAAATACATACAGTATATGAATATATCCAGTAGTTCCAATAGTTGAGTGAGAATTAACTCACCTCAGCAACCAAGACGTTATCTGATGAAATTCATGAACGTCTTGGATTGTTTGCCTTGTGTTAACGTCCTGCTTGCTGAATTGAGGGGTTTCTCACTCGATTATTGGAGCAATTGGATGTACAGAGCGTTCAATAAGTATTGCTAAAACTTTTGTTATCTTGCTTTTTTCTTCATGAAACTTTCACAACATAAGAAACACATATCTGACCTTATTTTATCTCAAATTCCGGAAACCCGACTTAGTATTGACAAAGTAATGGTTACTATGGTAACCATTGTCACGGGTGCGCGAGGCAACATCAAGGGTTTACATGACGATACGTGACTGATTGGTGTTTCAGTAACTGGATGTTACTATTAACATACGGGAGAAATATTTGAATACTAATTGACCTCCTTCTTGGTGAAAATGATGAAAATTAAAATTTTATCCAACGGAAGTTCATCCATTTTGTTATCAAGACACAACGTCTTTACAAACAGGTGGGGACCAGTAGTCCTATTGTATCAGAGTATCCCTCTTCATCTATCAGGCTCTGGATCTCAAAGTAAATGTATGGCTCAGCAGGGTTATGTAAACAAAATCAATTTTAGATCATTCAAATGCAAACCTTATGGCTGCTTAGTAGTCACTGGCATGTAGCGATTATAGCGGTCCTGTCTTGGCTTATTGAATTGTTACGAAGTTACGTATGCGGTGCGGAAGTTAGAGAGCAAATGACCATCATTTCAATGTAATAGTTTATGCAGGAAAATTGAGATTAGGCCATTGGAGTATTTGTTTCATGCATTTGTAAAACGTTACCCACTCATAGGTCATACTTATCGTTAAACCAATAACTCAAATATATGCCCTTGTACACCGATCACCTGTTGAAATTAATACAGGCCGATTTCAACAAATGTAAACGGCGATATATTTAAAATCGTATTCAAGCATGACCACGTCCCAACTTCTTTTGTTTTCTTTACAACTAAGCTATGACTGCAGTCTATTCAGTGTTGCGTATCGAACCTTGTTTATTATAAAAATAGTGCAACAACAAGCAGAATTCACACATTTACCTTATACTTACACAAGACAAAATCGTATGGAATAAGTTGCGATAAGCTAGTTATTAAGCTTGTTATTATGGTCTTACTAGTGGTTATTATTGAGTAATGGTACAGGTATTCGATATGGTATTGCAGCTTACACTTAAGTAATGGTACACGTATCCTTGGATTTTAGGCCCGAATACCGAGGTTTATTTTTTTAATTATCGTGTATTATTATTTTGTGTAACTATTGGCATGATATGATAACCTTGTTATATTAATATAGCGCATAGGCGTAGCCATGGGGATGCGATGTGTGCGATCGCACCCCCCCCTCCATAACCAATGAAAATAGAACCATTAGATAGAAGAAAAAAGTCTTAAAATGCTTTTTATTTGAAGCTTCTAGCTCGATTTTGAACGAAGTTGCACCAATTTTTGTAAAATTCAAAACAAATCTCCAAAAACATTTTTTTATGCCACGATCGCACCCCCCGCCCCCCTCCCCCCGACTGAAAGCTGGCTACGCCACTGTAACGTGTAATCAATACGCTACATTTTGTATGTTCAATTTGTATACTAAAAACTGTTATTAATCCACAAATTTAGATGAAGACAAGATAAAAATTCGAATCAAGAATGAAAAGGTGTCTAAGTATATGATTCTTAAGGGTAATGCATATTTGAATTAAACAGAGGCGGGTTAATTTATATTGTGCTATGAATTACGCTATTATTCAAAATTGCAGCTAAGATGCCTGTTTTACGATACCCTGCGTGCAGAGTCTAGTTAAACTACACTAAGACGAAGCTCTCTTTTAAGAAGTGAAGTCAAACGAATGCAAAGGGTAGTTTTATGAAAAATATCACGGAAGATGTATTCTAGATATCAGTAGTATTCTCAGAAATTTATTATCCGAAACGGATAACATCTGGCCACTCAGACAAACAATCGCAGACATAGGCTAAGCTTGTTTATTTAACAGTTAGATTTGTTGACTTACCGATCCGTATTTCAATCTCCGGGAAGACGTTCTTTTCACTTTGTATTTGCGTGCAGTGTAATATAAGTTGATACTTTTGTTCAAAAATGTACTTTTAATGGCCATTTTATGCCTTTTATTTTCAAATTATGTTTTGTTTGGATGTCAGTGTGAAAAGTCAAGAAACGTCAACCCCGACTTTAAATTGTTTTAAAATCACTTATGGCAAATCACAAGTTTGATGATGTCAACGGACCATGATTGTGGAAGGCTATCAATATCAGGTGTATATCGCATAGAAAATAAATATAGCTAATTTTTCGCACTGATATGATGATGACTATTCTGGCAAATCGGGTAGATATTTCTCAGTTTTTTCCGGTAATAAAACTATTCATTTCTATCAATTTTAAAAAACGGGGTCCTTTGAATGCACATTAAAACTATAAAAGTATTTATTGGGCGTACATACTCGTTCTGACATGTTACTTACATTTCATTTGCAAGTTGTCCACATATTAATCCGGCGTTTTGTTTAATCAAATTTCTCGCCCCTTGAGGTTTCCGACTGTAAAACTTAATATTTAATACTAACCAATGCATCAGTTAATATTTTCAGAATACAAATTTTCCATTTTTATTTCTCTGATAGATAAAGTCTCATTTTGAATCTGTTCGTGTATTAAAGAGTATGCTTTTATAATGCCGTGGTCACATTTGCTCAGATTTTCAGCACCGGCGCCCGGCCGATGAGTATTTTGTTCAAAATTGTATTCAATTCTGAACAAAATACTCAATCGGCCGGGCGCCGTAATGAAAATCGGAACGAATGATACCAAGTCATAACTGATGGAAAATCAAATGAGAACATGAACATGGATAATAGGGGAACTATTACGCTGCGTGCAGAGTCTAATTGTAAACTACGAGAAGACGAAACTCTCATTAGAGAAGTGAAGTCGAACGAATGCAAAGGGTAGGGTACTATAGAAGGGGATCATATAAAAGCACGATCTATTTCACAACCCCTTTAACTTTTGTTCTTCAACTGTTGCCCTTTGTGCATTTCAATAATAAAATATCTTAATCTGATTTGTTCCACCTTTCTTTTCGCTCAGTTCTGCACTATTATTTCCATATGTTGTTTAGGATTATGTCATTTGCGAAATAGCTGTAAGACATTATGAGAATGAATATGGGAGTTTCCACGATAATGTTGTTCACATGATTTTATACACATACCTGCATAACAATCGGAGACAGAAGTCTTAATATTGTCCAATAAAAATGAGAATCTAACATTTAATGATAACAAAAGGATTAATTACTTAGTTCTCTTTGTTTTAGTCTTTGTTTTCTTAAATGCGGAAGTGTACCAACATCACCTAGATTATATAAGAGATCATCTAACAGTCTAAAATTGCTTTTAATCGCAAGTTAATGCATTCCGACCAAAATTTGTATACCTGTAATTGGGGGGGGGGGGCGATGTTACATCACATAACTACAACGTTCATATAGAAATATACAATAAGCATGTCCGT